AGCGCTCCCCTCTCCACCCATAGAGCCTCTCCTTCCCCCTGCAACCCACCCTGCAGCGCTCCCTTCTCCCCCCAGACCCTTCCCCCTGCAACCTGCCCTGCAGCGCTCCCCTCTCCACCCACAGAACCTGCCCCTTAGCACCTACCTCTGCGGGCGTCCTCTGCAACCACGGGCCCTGCTGCCTCCCTCTGCTGCGCCCCACATCACTGCGCCCCCCCCGCCAGCCCCGAGCCGCCTCCTCCCCAAGCCCCCGAGATCTGTGCTCTGATCCCCAAAACAGCCCTTTCCAGATCCATGTGGGGGGGAGGGGGGACAGGAGGGACTCTAGCCACGTGCAGGAGACCCAAGGCCATTTATTTTCATTAAATATGTAGACTAAATAATGAAATTAATACATTTTCAAGCTGAATGTGTATTAATTCTAATGAACAATGCCACATTATGCAGTATTCATTTTTGAAAGTTTATAATAAATGATGCTCTGGGGGGATGGGAGGGGGAAGGGAGGCTGAAGGTGGAAGTTTCGCCTAGGGCGCAAAATATCCTTGCACCGGCCCTGAGTACAGCTAGGTCAAACTAATGTTTATGTGCCTTAAAATCATACAAATAAGAGGTTAGGTCAGATTGACTACTATCCCTACCCCTGCCTTCAATACCGAGGTAGGATTGTTTATTATAGTACAAATACTGCACCCATCTGTCTCAATGTTCTATTTAACCCTAGTCACTAACTTTATATGATTCTTCTCCGGCCCCTCCGCCTGACCGTTTGACTCTATTCTCTACCTCATTGGTTCTCAACCAGGGGTCCGGGGCCCCCTGGGGAGCTGTGAGCAGATTTCAGGTAGTCTGCCAAGCAGGGCTGGCATTAGACTTGCTGAGGCCCAGGGCAGAAAGCCAACACCTCACCGCATGGGGCTGAAGCCTGGGGCCCCGAGCCCCGCCACCCGAGGCTGAAGCCAAAGCCTAAGCAACTTAGCTTGTCGGGGCCCCCTGTGGGGTGGGGCCCGGGGAAGTTGCCCTGCTTGCTACCCCCCTAATGCCAGCCCTGGCTTTTATATGCAGAAAACCAGTTGTTGTGGCACAGGTGAGCTGTGGAGTTTTTATAGTATGTTGGGGGGGGTAGGGGGGCTCAGAAAGAAAAAGGTTGAGAATCCCTGCTCTACCCCTTGACCTCCCTTAAGCCTTCTATCATTTTTTCTTGCTCATGCTTAATCTCTTTCATCAGGCCGCTTTACTTTTGTCTTCCCATATGCTATTTCTCTTCCCTTAATACCTCCTGTCTTTAACTACTGTCCCATCTCCCTCCTGCCCTTCTTAACCAAGCTGCTTCATTTATTTTCATTGCCTTAACTTTCTCTCTGCTAATTTTCCTTGACCCTCTGTAGTCTTGTTTTCATGCCCTCTGCTCCACTGAGATTGCGCTTTCTTAGGTCATCAGTGGTGAAGTTCAAGAGCTGTCTTTTCTTTTCCATCTTCTTCCTCCTTGCCTCTTCTGTCTCTTTCACTGTGGTAGACCTCTGTTTACCTGTCTCCATGGTTATTTTATCTCATAGACTGCTCCTTCAGTGTTTCCCTTGGTGGTTCCACCTCCTTTTTCCCCTCTTTTTCTTGGGATTTCCACGGGCTCCCTGTTCTCCTTCCACATCTCTCCCTTGGATTAATTCATCTATTCTCTCAGCTTCATATACCTTATCTACAATTATAGCTTCTAAATCTCTCTACCCCGACTTCTCCCACTTCTGTTCAGTCTCATTATTATTATTTGTATTACAGTAGTGCATAGAGGCCCCAACATAGTTCAGACCTCACCCTCCATTTTGCTAAATGCTGTGTGTTTATATAGTAAGAGGCCTCCTTGCCACAGAGAGAAGGCCCACCTTGAATCTACAGACACTTAAGCATGTGAATAGTCCCGTTGAGTAGGAAAGCTTACA